ACGCCCAGCGACCGCCCAGGGGGGGGGGGGGGCTCTGAGGCCTCCTAACTCCAGTTCCTGTAACCAGATTATATCAGTGCTCTGCTGTATCCTGGAGAAGCAATAAACTCCCTCTATTCTACTGGCCGGGGGAGTCTGTCCGTGCCATTACGGGGGTGCAGGAGGCGGGAGACCCCGACACGCCGTCACATGGAGTAGCGGGGCAGGAGTGGGGGGCAGAGGGTTGGGGAAGGGAGGGTTGGGATGCCAGAGGCAGGCTCTGGCCAGAGACTTACCAGCCAGCAGCCAAACCAGCCTACCTGCCTGTAGAGCTAAAGTGGACTTTTGTCAACAAAACTATACCTGGGTCTACACTATTGCCGAGTTCTGTCAACAGTAAGTTGACAGAACGCAGCAGTTTTGCCGATGGCGGTAAACCTCATTCTACGAGGAATAACGCCTTTTTTCAACAGTTATGTCGAAAAAAGGCACTATTGCACCTACCCTGTGCTTTTTCAAAAGAGTGTGTCTAGACTCTGTCCAAAAGTGGCTTGCTTTGTCGACAGAACTGGCTGTAGTCTAGACGCTCTTTTTCAACAGAGGCTTTGTCGACAGTATCTGTTGACAAAGCCTCTGTCAAAAAAAGCCTGTAGTCTAGACATACCCAAAGGGAAAAACGCAGTTACAATGTTTTAAACAATAGCTCAGTTCTTCTAAAGTAGTCCATGTGACATACCACAGTAGTACTAAATACCTTTTGGGCTTATCTCCACTACAGTCAGGATGGACTACGAGGCCGTTGTTCCACCTGGGTCAATGAAGACCTGCTAAATCAGAGGTCTCAGACTTCCAGCCTGCGGGCCATCTACAGCCTGAGCACTTCCCCAATCCAATCTACGAAATAGATTGAAAAAGTTATTTAATCAGACCTATGCGGCTGCTGGCTTGGGGACAGGGGGGTGGTATGCAGGGACTCACTGCTGGCTTGGGGACAGGGGGGTGGCATGCAGGGACTCACCTGCACACACGGCTCCCAGCAGCACCCCAACACCCATATAATCCCAGCCACAGAGGGCGCTGCTCGGTCTGGGAAGCTGCACTGGCTGCCTATCCCATGATGTGAACCATGCTGGCCAGGGAGCCACCTGAGCTGATGCACTTTGCTGGGTTTCACTTACTGGTACCCTGGGTGGGGACATGGGACCCTAGTGCGAGGGCCAGGATGTTAGTGGGAAGGGGTGGGAGAAGTGGGATCCCAGAGCGAGGGTGCAGATGTTAGCAGAGGGGATGCAGCTCAGCACAAGGACACGGGGTTGTCAGGCTAAGGACTCTGGTCTTTGTCTGGACACAGGGATAGATGCTATCGACTTGCATGCACGATATTGCCAACTTCAAGTGTTCAAAACTCCTCAATCAGGTCCCCACCATTGACAAAGAGAATGGCTTCTTGAAATCACAACTAAAAATGGGATCTTTTTATTTGGCATCTGGTGTTGAGGTCTTTGGCTGAATTCGGGGCACGTTTTCTAGCTTTTCTCCTCAAACCATGAGACCTAAAGTGTTCTTTAAAAAAAAAGAAAAAGAAGTCTGGGATTCTCTTTTAGTACCATGCATCAACAAACAAGCATAACCTTCTCAGTCAGAATATTGATAGCAGTGCATGAGGCATTAGGTAGTGAAGCTCCCAGATCTGGCTTAATTCTAATAACATGGTTGGGCTTTTCTGGGGCGGCAGGGGGATAAGAGGGGGAGGGAGCAATGCCAATTATCAGGAGGCTTGTGATCAAATCAGGAGAGTTGGCATCACTGATATCCAGGACCTCTCCACAGCAGCATGGAGCTAGCAGCCAGAAGCCACTCTAGCCCCACTCCGCTACTGGTGGTGGCAGCAGGGGCTCCCAGAGGGTTTTTAATTGCCTGAGGACAGCAGGCGGGGTCGGGGACCATGCGGGTGGGGCAAGGGAGCGTGCAGCCAGAGACGCATGCTCCCTTTTACTCTTCTGCTGACTCCAATACTCCACTGGAATCAGATGAGTAAGGGGAGATTGACGGGAGAATTTCTTCCATCAATCCCATATGGTGTGGACCCCATGGTAAGCAGATCTAAGCTACAGCAACTTGAGTTACACTAAAGATGTAACTCAAATTGTGTTGCTTAGATCAACTTTTTTCCCATAGAGCCACCATAGTCCTACTGAGCTGTTTAGCAGTTCACATTTAAATGTCTGGTTCCAAATTGAGGGAGGTCATTTCTGCTTTATCAAACCTTATATTGAAGAGTAGGTAGCTGGGATGTTAAATATAGGTATTGCTAAGTGAGGGATCTTAAATGGTGCAAGGGTAAATGTATTGAGTAAAACAGATTCCAATGTCGAAGTTCAAGAATGCTAATTGTGAGGGCCATAATCTTACCTTAGCAGGGGTGAGAATAGGGCCATATTCTCACCATGACAGGGGCCAACAGGAGATTAGATAACTAAGAATCGCACTTGCAATGAATTGTGGGCACAGAATTGCAGGGGATATTATTTGCACATCCAAAATTGCACTTGAAAAATCTGAGGCCAGTGCTAAATATTGGGCCCTAAATTCCATAACTTAAAAATACTGATTATTTTTAGATCTGGGGCTACTCCTTAGATAGCAATTGCCACTCCATACGTGCCTCAGACTTGAATGGGAAATCTTTGTATTGTGTTTTCTTCCTTGTTGAGGACTCGGAAATGTGCTAATGTGAAGCTTTTTACAAGTGTTTTTAAGTTATGCAAGTGCAACTAGTTCAGTCAGAACATTTGGGAAAAGTATAATTTTTTTATGCATAATTCTAAACACTGTTTTAACTTCTTGGAAAAAATCTTGTGGCTTCAACCAAGCTTGGAAAATGCGATCTAAGGAAGAATTTAAGCAAGTACTTTTGAGCACTCTAGCAGGGAGATTGGAATAGATCGAAATGCTTTTCAACTTCAGTTATATTATTGGCTCTGTTAAATTCTTCCCCTTTTTTTGCAAGTTTAACTTACACAGTTTTGCAAAATGGTAGGCAAAGGTGTGCAACTAGTTCATATTAATATTTCTAGCAGATTTGTATTCTCATAGTGCTCTGTTTGAACCTGATATAGAATCTGTTGAAGTCAGTTGGAGAGGCTCTTCAACAAGAGCTGATGGGGGAATGTCCGTTGATATGCTCCAAGGTAATATATCAGATACAAGAAGAGCAAATTGAGTATAGTAGCATCTCTTCCATACACGTTTGCTGAAATCAATTTTTACTTTAGATAGTATAAGACTTTTGAAACCAAATAATCCAATTTGATGTGATATAAGGCTACTTGGACATTCCATCATAAACTTTTTTCTTAAATACACTTTTTTTTTTTTTTTTTTTTGCAGTGGCTTTGCCTCCAGAGAAGACAGATGGAGTTTGCAGTGGAGATGAAAAGAAGGCTGAGAGAGAAAGTGATGCACGTATAAGTTCCAGAAAACAACTAAAATTTGAAGTAAGTCACCAGTTTTCGATCATTCAATATTCTGATATAGTTAATAGAGATAAATAGCCTATGACAGATTTTCAATTTCTGGGTTAAGGCTTATAAAGGCAAGCTGCTAGCTGACTGCAAAACACTCTGTTTACCTCATAGGTACGGGGGATCGCAGATCCTATTGACTGTAGATCCCCATTCCTGGCCAATGGGATCTGTGGGATGTGGTGTCCCAGTCTGCACTACTTCCTGCAGTTTCCATTGGCCAGAAACAGCAATCTGTGGCCAATGGGAGCTGCGATCACCCGTACTTGCAGAGTTGCAAGTAAACAGAGCATCTTCCAGCCGGCTAGTGGCTTGCTGTTACAAGCCACGACCCAGAGTTTGAAAATCCCTGGCCCGTGGAACAAATATGGCAATGGTTGCCTCTATTCAGTTCCCATTGATTGCACTGCACGTCAGGTTGATGTACATCAGAGAGCAGGATTTGGCCTTAAGCCTTTATTTCGCCATTTGCCTGAGTATTGTTTTGTGGGATGGTTATTCCGTAAGTCAAATAAAGCTTAATGATGATGAGTACTCAGCAGGAGCTGGAGTGTATGATAAGGAGAGTTGTTAGACGTTGCTATGTTCTTGTGCACTTTTAAAATGTAACTGCATCTGCCACCCACTATGTTATCATATCCTTATATTACCTTTCATAGTTAAATCTGCCCAGTGTAAAAGGTGTTTGTGAAAGATTCCGTAGCCCTCAGTGTTTTGTGTCTGGGCCTCCAGAATGAAATAACCTGGGAACCTTCTACAATGGCAATTCATCTGATTAGATGGAGGGGGAATAAAGATCCTGAGGGGAATTCATCTGAAGGCCTATTTCCTTGTAGACTTATAAACATCATAATACTGCCAGACATTCTGCATAGTTGGCAGATTTTGCTTATAAAGGGAGAGATTTAATAAATACGAGCACTGAAACATGCTGTCATCTGGGTAGAGAATTGTCTGTCTTGGCAAACAGGGAGGCACATTGGTACTGGCAGAATAGCATGCATTTTATCCGTCTTTACTCCAGCAGACATGGCAGACTTCTGCATTTCATTTCTGTCTGTCTGTCATGTTAATGAGCTTTGCAGTCTTCAATTATTATTTGAAAGACCATATAGCCATCTTATAATGTTGCTGGAACATATTTTCTTCTCTGGAGAATATTTGGTAGCTCTGTGTAAAAAGTAAAATTACTTCTTACTGCTTTCAGGCTGAGTAAATGGATCAAGCTTCTCCATGAGCTATTCCTATGATCTTAGTCATTTTGACAGATGGTTTTCTTTCTCTCAAACTTTAGGCTTATTTTATATTCTACCTTGAGTAATGGACATTTCTCACACATGAAAGTAATGACAAATTACAATTAACAGTGCTCTGATGTTTGACTATTGGAGGACACCTGTCAACGGGATTGGTGCCAATTTAGCTGGAACTTGACCATACCAGCAAAGACTGTGTTTGTTTCCAAGTAGTTCTTGGCATGCCATAAAGGTTAGCACTTGGTACCAGGCTCCATGACTAATGCAGGGAAGATTGCCATGTTATTAACTAACCAGGGCACATCCTCACATAAAGATCTAGGCAGTATGGGATAGGGAACTGTTAATATTTGGCAAGAAACCAAGTATTGATAGTTTTTCCTTGTTCTCTGAATCAAAGCTTTCTAACCTTGTAAGCTAAGGGCTAAGAAGAATAGTAAATCTTTCATTTTATGACCAGGTATAAAGGAATCAGAAATGCAAGTGTCAAGACGAGAGGTCTAAATCTGAAGTGGATGTGATTTGGCTTTTAAAGGAGATGGGAATGTTTGTGTAATATGAAACTGTGTTTCCACAGTAGAGTGTGGGGCACTTGGCAGCTTTCAGAGGAAGCTTGTTACAACTGAGAGAAGACTGCCTTTGAACTCAGCAGGGGATGGGGGTACCGTTAACTGCTGTAGGGAATTGGTTTCAAGTCAGCAGATAGACCAGGTATTTTGAGCTCTATCATGCTGAAGCTATTTGGAACTGTTTATTTTACTTGTATACAGTGTCTTTTATTTTAATTGTGCTGTAACTTTTCGGTTTGCCTTTTGTGACTTTGAATGATTCAGATTGCATGGGTCTGGAGAGAAAGCAAGGAGCTTACAAGGAGGTGACCGGAGTAGTTCAACATCCATCTTTTGTTGTTGCTGGTTGTTTTTATTTACACACTCACTCACACACTCACTCACTAGCAGAAGCACAATTAAAGTAAGATCAGGCAACAATACATATTGCGTGGGAAAGGATTCTTACCTCTCAGTTCTGAATCAAGTTCACTTTCAGTAACTTTGGTATCGTGAATATGTATCAAAGGTTGCCGAAGTTAATAGTGAACATTGAGTGTGTGTGTCAAGGGCAAGTTTTACTACTGAGGGTTTGTACCGTGCCTCCATTTTGTATTAATGACCACTTCTGATTCAAAGGCATGCTGCCTCATACCATGGTTCAGTTTTTGCCATCTCTCTCTTTTCTCCCCGAGTTACATGGAGGTTTTTCTTTTTCTTTTTCTTTTTTTTTTGTGGGAGATCTTATATTGTGTTCTCAGAACTGCATCAGGCAGCTTTTTTTTCATACTTCTGTATTTCATAGAAGTAAAAGTAGAAAGTGTTTCTCTGTCTCCCAGAAGTTTAGCCCAATGGAATTAAGAAAGGAACTTTGTTGTCATGAGACTCCAGTGCAGTGGACAGAAGGCTTACCTGAACAAATCCTAAGTGCTTTTCCCCACGAGCAAGGAAGGAATAAAGAGAACCACTTATTTTTTACAGAGAAACTTAGTTTCTTCGGCAAGGGTGCCTTTTGCTTTAGGTAATCAGTTGCTCTTTGCTTGTTTCTTAGGAATTGCAATGTGATGTGTCTGTAGAGGAAGATAACAGGCAAGAGTGGACCTTCACACTGTATGACTTTGATAACAACGGAAGAGTCACACGGGAGGTAAGCAAAGGATAGTTGCCCCTTTGTATACAGCATTTGCTACCAAGAGAAGCGATTCATAACAGGAACATTTTTTTTTCTCCTGTGAAATAAACATGTCCCGCCACTTCAACAGCAGTTTTCATGGAACATCTTCCCTCCCACAAACAACCCCACTGAGAGTTTACTGGTTTTGGAATTACTGTACCATCTTTTGAGCTGGTCGCAGTTTAGTGTGTGGAAGAAATAGTACTGACATCTGATGGGGGGAAAAAAATCTGAAACCGCTTTGTCTCCAAACTCATTGTCAAAACAAACCCCAGCAAATGTACATTGCTCACTCCCCTGCCCTGCTTTTCATAGTCAAGCTGACCAAATAGCAAGTTTGCTTTTTGAAAATTTTCTGTTCCTTTCATAAACATTGGGTAGCAATCTGTGCTGTCATCTCTGTCAAATTATAGATTCTCCCAAATAAACCTTGTGACACTTACTGCAGCATACCAGGCAATGGCTATCTATCAGTATAAGACAGTGGCATAGTGAGCCCTTCGGGGTGCGTCTGGGCAATGAAGGGAGTCAGGCGTTAAGCCCCAGCGCCTGGACCCTGCTCCTGGGCTGGTACATCGGGTTGGCTGGAGCAATGGGACAAGCACTGTGTCATGAAGAGTCCTGCAGGGCTGTGGAGTGGGCCTGGATGCAAAGTGAGTGGGTCATGGCCAACTCCAACCCAGCCATAGCTATGACCCAGGGAGGAAATGTATCCCTACTAAGATTTTCAGGATATTTTTTGTGTACTCATTTTCCAAAGCATATTAACCGGAATGAATCGCACATCGTGAAATGTGTCCTCTTTGAATGTTTGCTCATGTCCTGCATTGCGTGCACCATTGCTGGAGATATTTCCCTCAGTGGCAACTGTGGGGCAAGTTCTAGTGCCCTCTGGAGCTGCTTTATGCTCCAGTATAAGGGGCACTGCCGGTCACACACACTCATATTTCCTTCTTACTGCCCACTCGCTGCTGATCCCACCAGCCACAATGGGGCACCTATGAGCTGTGGTGTCCGGAAGCAGGAGGGAGCAGAGTGTGTGAGGAGCAAGCACTACTTGATCCCAGCATCCCAGTTTGTGGCACATCACTAGTTCCCAGAACCCTGCCACCTTATGGAGCCAGAAGCAGGTACCACTACCCTGTGGGCACCGAGAGAAGAATTCCCTTCAGAGAATGTATTGTCAGATGACATCAGCAGCTCTTTCTCTGACCTCGAGTGGCCTCTTTACCAGGAGCAAACCTTCCAAAATTCATCTCCTAAATGTGGAGGCCTCTCCAGGTGGACCTGTTCACCACAAGACAGAACAGAAAATGCCATCAGATTTGTTCACTGCATGGGCACAGCCCAGGCTTGCTCTCTGCTGCCTTCCTGTTCTCTTGGGAAAACCACCTACTGTACGACCTTCCCCCAACCCTCTTTTGTGCACAAGGTTCTTCTGAAAATCGCACAGGACAAGAGAAGAGTTATCCTGATAGCACCAGCACAGCTGCGCCAGCATTGGTTTGGCACACTCCTGGACTTGAGTGGCATCTCTGCTCTTGCTCCTACTCCATCTGGACCTTATTTTCATCTAACTTCATGGATGCTGCATGGCTGAACAGGAGTGCTCAGAACAGTTTCAGCGGGTCTTGCTAGGGAGGAGGACTACATGCTTGGCCAAGTGGAAACATTTTGCTTGTTGGGCTTCTGAACATGATCTCTCTCCATCTCAATCTTCCCTTCATTCTATCTATTTGCTGTACCGAAAAGCAGGGCTTGGCCCTCTTGTCTATTGAGATGCATTTGGCAGCCATGTCAGCCTTCCAGCCCCTTGTGAATGGCAGGCTAGTGTTAGTAGTAACAGTTCGGTTTCTCAAGGGTTAAAAAGATTCTATTGTAAGGTTTATGAACTAACCTTTCCTCCACCCCGATGGGACTTAAATCTGGTCCTGTGGAAGCTCATGCCCCACACTCTTCAACAATTAACACTATGCTCCCTGCTGTTTCTCACTGGGAAGGTTGCCTTCTTGGTGGCGATCACCTGTACCAGAAGGATCTCTGAGAGTAAAGCCATTATGTTGGAACCACCTTACGTGGTGCACTGCGAGGACAAGGTCCAATCGCACCCCATCTAACCTTCTCACCAAGGGTGGCATCGCTATTCCATAACAACTGGGTCCTATTATTGCTACTTCCTGAAACCTCACTAGAACTCTGAGGAGCAATGGCTTTAATGGCCCCTGACCTTCTATATTGAGAGAACTAAAACCTTCCACACATCCACACAACTCTTTGTGGCAATAACAGAAAGGATGAGAGGACTACCCATGTAAACCCTAAGGATCTCATCCTGAATAACCACCAGTATTCCAGTTTGATACATTTAGGTGAACGTTCTGCCTCCAGCCATCATATCTGCTCTTTCCACAAAAGTCCAGGCTTTGTCAGTAACATTCCTCATGGAGCCCCAATCCAGGACCTCTGCAGAGCTGCAGTCTGGTTTTTGGTGCATGCCTTCATGTTTCACTGCACTATCACCCAACAGGTCTGAGGCGATACCTGTTACAGAAGAACAGTATAGTCATGAGCATGCCCATAAACTCCGAGCCCACCTCTTAGGGTACCACTTATGAGTCATCTAGCATGGAATGGATATGAGCACGCACTCAAAGAATGATAAACAGTTATTAACATTCTGTTACTGTTGTCCTTTAAGATGTGTTGCTCATGTCCATTCCATGAATCACCCTACTAACCCTCTGTAGGACTTACTGACAAGAAGGAACTGAGAGGCTGTGAGACTGGCAGTCCCCTTAATACCAACCCATAAGCATGTGGCTCCAGATAGCACTAGAGCCAGCCCAAAGGATACCACTAAGGGGAAAATGTCCAGCAGTGGTTTATGCTCTGCTTACACATGTAGCACAGAATATGCATGAGCGACACCTCTCAGAGAATAGTGGTTACAGAAGGATAATAACATAGATTTTTGCTTAGCTTGAAAGCAATGTACCATCACCAATTATTTGCAAAGTTTTGTTCCTTGGTTTCTGTGTCTTTAAATGATCAGCTGCAAGAGTCATTCTCCTTTTTCATTTAAGTCAATACCTTTAAAAATTAGCAAGACTTAAGTGAACAGGACTACGAAAAATACTGAAAACTTGGTGGTGACAGACGAAAAATGGTGCTAGGTGGTGCACAAGACTGACGTGGAGTTTCTTTTTATGTTCAGTCAAAACTGTCTGACAAATGAAGGGATTGTGCAGGTTTTTGAGAAAAGTATGCAAATGGAGTACCATTATTAAGACATTATTATTTTATATTGTGGTAACACACAGTGTACTCAAATGAAATTTGGACTATAGTGTACTAGGGCACTGTTCAAACACAGAGTAAGATACAGTCTTTGTTCCCAAGAACTGACTATCTAAATAGATGAGAGAGAAAGAGAGAGAGAGAGAGGGAGGAGGTATTACCCCTATTTTATTGGGAATGGATTTACAGAGCCATTAAGTGACCTGCCCAAAATCATGCAAGAAATATGAGGTAGAGCTGAGAATTGAACCAGATCATCTGAGTCCTTGGTCTGTGCCTTAACCACAAAGAACAGTGTTCTTCTGAGAAACAGAAGAATATTCAGAATTGTCCCTTAGACCCATGGATGGAATTCCTATCAATGCCATCAGGAGTTCCATGTGTGAAAATACAGAGAGTAGGCTTTTAAATATACGTATAATAACTATCTGTAATATTTGTGTTACACCAACGAGCTTAATTTGACTGTACTTAAAGAATGTTTTGCAGCCAAATTCTGCCTCTTCCTACAAGAGGAGACAGCATAGTAACTGAAACAAAATCTGTGCAAGGATTGAAAATGATATTAACTGTGACGTCTGGGGTTTGCTATATTCAGTCCTGTATCTGTGCCAAATATTTGTCTTTTAGCCCAAGGGACCAAGTAGACTGATAATTTGTTTCTAGCCGTGGTCATATGTGAAGAACTGCCAAGAATATATACCAATGGAAAGCTTTCTAACTCTTCACGACACTTGTTTTTGTCCCAGTAGGCTGCAAGATTCTGCATCTTAAAGTTGCCATTTGGATTATCCATCTTCCTTGTTGAACGATTTTAAAAGTCACTCTTAAACAAATATCTCGGAAGCTAGGGATTTCAGTTTTCAAATGTCCTAGAATTTCTCATTTCAGCAGTTTTTGAGAGATTAGCTGTCACCATAATGGGCATGATTCTGCAATCTGGTGAGCATCCTGCTTCTGATCGAGCAAGGCATTTGACCCATACTTCACTTTTTTTGGGGAAAAAAAGGGAGCACGTTTAAAGTTTAAACATATGTTTAGTGCTTTGCTGGATTCAGAACAGAATGGTTAGAACAATCCCAGTGTGAGGAAGATTGTTGCCTTCCTTCTCACAATACAGGCAGTCCCCGGGTTACGTACAAGATAGGGACTGTAGGTTTGTGCTTAAGTTGAATTTGTACTTAAGTCGGAACTGGCGTCCAGATTCAGCCGCTGTTGAAACTGACCAGCAGCTGACTACAGGAAGCTCGAGACAGAGTTTCTCTGCCCCGGGCTTCCTGGAATCAGCCTCTGATCAGTTTCAACAGCAGCTGAATCTGGACGCCTGGGACAGAGCAGCTGGGGCGCTGCCGGGTAGGTCCCCGCAGCGCCGCACTTCGGCGCTGCGGGGACCAACCCGGCAGCACCCCAGCTGCTCTACCCCAGGTGTCCCCAAG